TGTACCCCCTGAATATGCTATGATAAGAAGGGCTCTGGGTTATTCTCCCACAGAACCTATAATCTCAGTCTAATCAAACAGAAAAACACCAGACAAAATCCAAATTAAAAGGCATTCTAAAAAGTATCTGTCTAGTATTTCTCAAAGTTGTCAAGGTCGTAAAACACAGGAAAGGCTGTCACAAACCATAAGAGATATGACAACTAAATGCAATATAGTATTCTGAATTAGATCATGGGATGGAAAAAGTGACATTAAAGAAAAGACCGGCGAAAGTCTAGAATTTGATTGTGTCCATTGTTCCAGCACTGTTTTTTTGAAATGACTATTTATCCACTGAATTTCTTTTGAACCTTTATCAGAATTATATGTGTGGTTCTATTACTGGACACACTATTTTTGTTCCACTGATCCTGAGTGTTTATCCTTCTGCTAATAACACAAGTAATACAGCTTTGTGATAAGTCTTGAAATTGGGTAGTGGATTTGCTGATATTTTGTTGAAGATTTTTGTATTATAATCATGAGAGATATTGGTTGGTAGTCAATATGCTGGTAAGTGTTTAACAATCAGAGTTTTGGGTACTGAGAGAGAAACCTGCTTTTGTATTGTTTACCAACTTTTGTGATATAAATACCCCTGCTGTGGCTAATTTCAAGCTACAAAATAATTTTAATCAATTGCCAAAAATTTAACAACCAGCACTCTTGATCTGGTACAAACAGGTGCCAACCTCCACTGTAGTTTTCTTTTATGGTAATGTTTCTGTTAGGTTTAGGTATCAGGGTAATATAAGCTTCATAAAATGAATTGAGAACAGTTCTCTCCTCTTTGTTTTATGGTAAAGAGAAAAGAGAAGTCGTTCAGTTGTGTCCGACTCTTTGCGACCCCATGGACTGTAGCCTACCAGGCTCCTCTGTCTGTGGGATTTTCCAGGCAAGAGTACTGGAGTAGGTTGCCATTTCCTTCCCCAGAGGATCTTCCCAAGCCAGGGATCGAACCCAGGTCTCCTGCATTGCAGGCAGACACTTTATTGTCTGAACCACCAGGGAAGATTACGTATAATTGGTATTGTTTCACCATCAATGTTTGGTGGAATTTACCACTGACACCATTTGGGCCTTAAGATTTGTTAGAATGTTTTATTGGTTTTAATCAAAGTGAAATTCACATAATATTGGCCATTTTAAAGCATACAATTCGGTACAATTTAGCACATCCACAATGTTGTGGGACCACTACAACATATAGTTCCAAAACATTTTCACCATCCCAAAAGAAAACCCCATTCCCATTAAACAGTTGTTAACCTATTCCCTCTCTTAGCCCTTGTCTCTGTGCATTTACCCATTCTGAATATTTCATATAAGTGGAGTCATATAATGTGTACCTTTTCTGTTTGGCTTCTTTCATTTAGCATGTTTTCCAAGTTCATTCACCCTATACTTTATATCAATACTTCATTTTTATGAAAAATAATATTCCATTGTATGTTTATACCACAGTTGTTTATCAGTTCATCCATTGATTGAGATTTAGGTGGCTTTCACTTTTTGGCTTTTGTGAATAGTGCCATTATAGCTTTTGTGTACTATAGCTTTTGTATAGCTTTTGAGTATCTGTTTTCAAGTCTTTTGGGTATGTATCTAGAAGTGGAATTGATGGAATTGATGGTATTGTATGGTAATTGTATATTTAACTTTTTGAGTTACTGACGAACCTTTCCCTAGCAGCTGTACCATTTTATATTCCTGCAATGTATAAGGATTACAATTTCTCCACATCCTCCCCATTACCTGTTGTTTTCTGTGTTTTTTTTTTTTTTTAAATACCCATCATAATAAATGGGAAGTGGTATCATCATGGTTTTGATCTGGCTTTTCCCTGAAGACTAATGATGATGTTGAGCATCTTTTCATGTGCTCATTTGTATAACTTAAATGTCTGCTCAATTTCTTTGCCCATTTTTTGTCGGGGTTATCTTTTTTGTTATTGAATTTTTAAGTATACTTTATATATTCTGGATAATATACCTTTATCAGATATATGATTTGCAAATATTCTGTTCTATTTTGTGAGTTATTTTTTTTTCCTATTTTGGTACTATTCTATGATGCATGCAAATTTTAATTTATTTATTATATTTTCTTGGTTGCCACACTGTGTGGCATATGGGATCTTAGTTCCCAAACCAAGGATCAAACCTATGCCCCTTCTATTGGAACCACAGAGTCTTAACACTAGATTACCAAGGAAGTCCCTGTAAAAGTTTTAAAGTTGATAAGGGCAGTTTATTTTTCTTTTAATGCTTGTACTTTTTGGTGTCATATCTTGAATCTGTTGTCAAGTTCAAGATAAGGAAATTTATTCCTGTATTTTCTTCTGAGTTTTATATTTTTAGCTCTTAACATTTAGGTCAATGATCTATGTTGAATTAATTTTTTTATATGCAACGAGGTAGAGGTCAAGTTTTCTTCTTATGCATGTGGTCATCTAGTTGCCAGTGTCATTTATTGAAGAAATTATTCTTTCTCCATTGAATGGTCTTGTCTTCCTTGTTGAAAATGAGGTGGCCATAGATGTATGGTTTTATTTTCAGACTCTCGTTTCTATCTATTGGACAATATGTCTGTCTTTATGCCAGTCACACTGTTTTGATACTGAAGCTTTACAGTAAGATTTTAAACAAGTGGGAGTTCTTTGACTGTTTCTTTCCCAATTTTGTTTGACTGTTAGAGACTCCTTGCAATTCTGTATAAATTTGAGGATTGGCTTTTCTATTTCTGTGAAGGAGTCATTGAGATTTTAATAGAGATTGCATTGATTCTATAGATTCCTTTGAGTAGTACTGTCACCTGAACTATATTAAGTCTTAACAGTCTATGAACACATACTATCATTTCTTTTATTTAGGTCTTCTTTAATACTTCCAGTGATGTTTTTCAGTTTTCAGTGTATAAGTCTTATATACTCCTTGAGTAGATTTATCCCTAGGTACTTTATTCTTTTTGATGCTACATTAAATGGAACTGTCTTTATTTCTCTTTTGGATTTTCATTACTGGTAAATAGAAACACAACTGATGTTTGTGTGTTGATCTTATAATTCTGAAATGTGCTGACTTTGTTTATTAGCTCTGTTTTTGTGGATTCTTAGGGATATTCTATATGTAGTTTTAAGTCTTTCACTACTGAGTATAAAGTTAGCTGAGATAGAAGTGGATTAAAAATATTATCATTTTGAGGGCATTTCCTTCTATTTCTAGTTTACTAAATGTTATTATCATGAAAGTGTTGAATTTTGTCAAATGCTTTTTTGCATCATCTGAAATGGTCTACTTTTCCCCCTTTGCTCTTTTAATGTAATTGATTGGTTTTAGTATGTTGAGCCATTCTTGCATTCTTGGGATAAATCACACAAAGTCAATTAAAAATCTAGTTTTTAATTTTGCTGGATTTGATTTACTAGTAACTTGTTAAAGGTTTTCATCTTTATATTCATAAAAGATATTAGGTAGAATGCTTTCTCAACTTCATTTAATCCTTTTTCTGAGGTTTTGTCTTGTTCTTTTGTGTGGAACCTGTTTCTCTGTCTCATTTTGCTTAATCCTCTGTTTTTATATCTGTGCATTTGGTAAGTTGGCTACATTTCCCAATCTTAGAGAAGTAATCTTACATGGAGATGTTCTGAGAAACCCAACAGTATACGCTTCTCTGATCATCAGAGTTATAAGCTCTAAGGGCTGTTTATGTATGGGCTACATGAATCCTTCCTTATTGTGGGCTTGACGGTTGTGGACAAACTAGCAGCCAAGGTTGACCCTCAGCCCTGTTGAAGCCAGACCGTACCTCATGCAGTGGCTACTGGCCCACTGTTGGGAGAGGCTGGGTCCCAGCCTGGCTGGCTGCATGTCCTATGGGGTTCCTGGACTGGGACCCAATGCAGCTGGCAGAATAGCCTGAAGTGTACTGGGATTGGTGATGGCTCACTGGTTGGCCGGTAAGCCTCTAGCACTAATAGACTAGAGGGAGGACTCCAAAATGGTGCTTATTAGAACCAATGTCCTTATGGTAGAACAAGCTTCCAAAGTGGCTGCTACCAGTGTGTGTCTCCAAGAGAAGTTCCAGTTGCCTCCTGACTCTTCAGGAGGCCCTCCAAGATCTATAAATGGGTCTGAGCCAGCCTCCCTTCAGATTACTGCCTCTGCACTATATTTGGACTGTGTGAGATTTTGCATGTGTCCTTTAGAGTAGAGTGTCTGTTTTCTGTAGCCCTCTGGCTCTCAAGTTTTATTGGCCTACAAAGCCAGATGATCTGGGGGGTTGTCTTCCTGGTGCAGGACCCCTTGGCAGGGGAGCCCAATGTGGGGCTTGAACCTCTGACTCCTTGGGGAGAACCTTTACAGTTTTGACTATCCTCCCATTTGTGGGTCACCTATTCAGGGCTGTGGGTCTTGACTATACTGTGTCTCCACCCCTCCTATCTATGTCATTATGGTTCCTTCCTTATATCTTTAGTTGTGGGGAATGTTTTTGCTACTCTTCAGATCATTTTCAAAGATAGTTGCTCTATAAATATTTGTCATTTCAGTGTGCCTGTGGAAGGAGATGAGCTCAGAGTCTCCCTTTTCCATTATCTTGGCCATTCTTTTTGATCATCTTTTATCTTGTACATACGTCTGTCATAGCACCTGCTGTGCATATTGCATTTATGAATTTAATCTTTGCCTCCCTGTTGGAATGTAAGCTCCTTGATAATAAGAATAGTTGCTTTCATTCATCTTTGTATCTCTAGCAGAGTTCTAGGCATGGAGTGATATCTTAGTAAATATGTACTGAACAAATATTTTATATATGTGTAAAATAGGGTACAGAGTAGCAGTATATCTCAGCTCTCCAGAGTAAATCCTGTAGTTAACATATTAACAGCTAGTTTATGTGTCTTTTTAATGGTACTCTATTTTGATCACTTCAGTTTGAATTGAAATATGTTGTTTCAGGGACCAGTAACATTTAAGGATGTTACTGTGGAATTCACCCAGGAGGAATGGAAATTGCTGGACACTGCCCAGAGGACCCTATATAGAGAAGTGATGCAGGAGAACTACAGTCACCTCATCTCAGTAGGTGAGGAAATCTGCATCTGTAACTCCCAGTAGTTTTCATTTCCTTTCTCACTTACTGGAATTTGTAAATCCTGTGTAGGGTTGAATATTAGCATTGTTTTCAGGGTCAAAGTTGATGAATCCATTTTGGGTACCAGAAAAATATTTGTGTCCCCATGCACTCCCCTAATAGAATAAATTTGCCAAATCTATGTGAGACCTTCATTGTTCTGATCCTAACCTGCAGTTCCTTATCCTTCAGAGTTGCTGTATTCCAAGTAATTTGTGTTATTTTATCTTTTCTATTAATAGGCTATTGTGCAAATAGGCCAAATGCAATCTTCAAGTTGAAGCAAGGAAAAGAACCATGGATATTAGAAGTACAATTTCCACATCAGAACAAGCCTGGTAAGTTAGAAAGTATAACTCGTATAAGGGGGTTGGAATTGATGCCTTTGACTTTTTGAAATTTTTTTTCAAGAATCTCTTTTTTAAATGCCCTAAACTTTTGGAAATGATTGAGAATACTTGATCTGCATATGTAAGCAACATAAATCACACCTCCGGTTTTTGTTCTCCCCATCTAAATTCCCTCTTTTGTGTGGGGCAGATGGAGATGATTGATTTTTTGTTTAAAAAAAATTCCCTCTTTTGCTTGACATTTTTAAAGTAGATTTATTTCTCTTTCCTACATACTAACTTTCACTTAAAACTCTCATTTTGTCTTTTTGCTAGAATTTCCAGTTACTCTTTGCCATTAAAGTATGCAGCTATAATCTTAAAGTGTTTATAAAATCTATCTTATAAAATTTTCAAATGGCATTTTCCTCTTTTCATTAACAATAAAATGTCTTAGATTTTCAGCACCCATTTTAATTTACTATTCTCTCTTTAATCTCTGAAATTGGATTATAAATCATTATGCCTTTCATGAGCTATATTATTGCAGAGTTGATACAAAATACACCTAATTTTCTGTCAAGAACTAGTCTGGCCCTTTATTGCCTGCTGCATCTTATTTTTTCCTTGTGGCCTCAAAACATGTGCTAATCTTCATTTTATCTGCTCTCTTAAATGCTTTATATACATAAGATCTTATTTCTTGAGTATCCCAAGTTAACCTTGCACATATCCCTATCAAATAACTTTATATTTTCCTTACAAGTGCCATGAAATTCTAACCCCAAATCTCTACTCAATCTCACTTTTTTTTCAAGCATTTAAAAATGAATAAACATGAAGGTCTGTAAAGATTCTAGAATGACATTGAATAATTACCCTTTAAAGATCATGTAGAAAATTGAAGCAGAGATGAGGGAGCTAAGACATGAAAGCAGAATAAGACTAGTGTTGAGTCACAATTGCAGTATTTGGCGGTCAGCATTGAAAATCTCTGTTGCTACGACTGGGAATTCATTCTGTGGGATGGCGTGTACTCTGCTTTTTAAAAAATCTTTCCTTTTGGATGTATGTGTTTCTGGGTCTTCTGAACCAGCCAACTAGAAAGAGAAGAATTTTCCTCTAAACATGAGGAAATGGATGTTCTGAGAAGGTCACTTTGGTGTTGACATCTAGATTGTTGGGTATGGGCAAAGCGGACTAAAGTGGAAGTTTATAGTCTAATTACTAGAAATTCTAGCACTGTAAACTAGGTTTGAGTGGGTAAAGACCTATACTTAGCTCTTTCATCTAATGTAATCTTTCCTTTGATATTTCCAGTGAACACAGTTGTCTACTAATTTTCCTTATCACCCTACTTACTATTCATTGTCCTTAATGGGCTCACATCATGCTCTATGAGTCTCACATTCTTGTTCAGCAGCACTTTGAATACCTTTTGTTTTCTGCTCCCTATTCTTTGTGTGTGTGTGTATGTGTGTGTGTTTTGTCTTCACTTTCTCCTCCAAGTTTTTAAGGTCATATTTGTAGTGTCAAAGTTACTTGAATTTATAACTAGGTCTCTCCCTCTTTGCTATAGCACATTTTAGTGTTATTTATATGTTTTTTTCTAAGCCACTGAGATAGAAGAAGTTTGCACTTAAGAACTCCTTCATTTGAGAATAGTTGCCTGAAACCTAAGAATCCACTCTATGACCTAATAATGTGTTAAGATGTATAAAGTATTAAATTTTGGATTCCTTTGTAGAAGACATATGCAATACTAATGACCAAGGAGCAAGATGCCCGGAAAGCCAAGCTGAAAATTCAAGGCAAGTTCAAGAATTCAATTTTGAGATTAGAAGCTTTTTAAGAAAGGGTCTTAACAGGGGTACTGGAAGTGAGACAGCACTAGTTCATGATAAATGAGAAAACTGAAGCAAATTCCAAAGAACATAATCCAAATGGGAAAGTCCTCTTTCATAATAGAGACCTTTTATAATTCAAGATCAGGAGATAAAACTCTGAAACAGTCTTTTGATTCTTATTTACATAATAAGAGAGGCTTTATTATACAAAGTCAAGTTCAGGCAGTTGAGAAACCTGGAGAATATAATACAAGTGAAATACCTTCTACCAAATGTTAAACCACAGTATATGTCAACATAGAATATTCACAATGGAGAAACCCTATGACTCTAATGAATATTGGAAAAACCTCTAGAAATCGGTTGTCAGAGTTATTTGAAAAATATACACAGCAGACCCAACCCCCACCCCATCACCCCAAAGTCTTATACATTAATGAATTTGGAACTTTCTCTCTAGGAATGGAGAACTCAAGAAACATCAGAAAACTCATACCAATGAGAAAACCTATAAATGTAATCAATGTGGAAAGTCCTTCTACCAGAAGTCTATCCTCATAATACATGAGCATACTCATTCAAAGGACAAACCCAGTGAATGTGAGAAATCCGTCTCTCAGAACGGACACCTCACAAGGCAACCAAAAACTCCTACCAGAGAGAAGACCTATGAATGTAAAGAATGTAAGAAAACTTTCTACCATCTGTCATCTCTCAGTAGACATTTGAGAACTCATGCAGGAGAGAAACCGTATGAATGTAATCAGTGTGAGAAATCCTTCTACCAGAAACCACACCTCATGGAACATCAGAAAACACACACAGGAGAAAAACCCTTTGAATGTACTGAATGTGGGAAGTTCTTCTATGTTAAGGCATACCTCATGGTACATCAGAAAACACACACAGGGGAGAAACCATATGAATGTAAGGAATGTAGGAAGTCCTTTTCCCAGAAATCACACCTCACAGTACATCAGAGAACACATACAGGGGAGAAACCCTATAAATGTAAGGAATGTGGGAAATTCTTCTCTAGAAATTCACACCTCAAAACTCATCAGCGAACTCACACAGGAGAGAAACCCTATGAATGTAAGGAATGTGGTAAATGCTTCTACCAGAAGTCAGCCTTAACAGTACATCAGCGAACTCATACAGGGGAGAAACCCTTTGAATGTAATAAATGTGGAAAAACCTTTTACTATAAATCAGACCTCACTAAACATCAGAGAAAACACACAGGGGAGAAGCCCTATGAATGTAATGAATGTGGTAAATCTTTCTCTGTGAATTCAGTCCTCAGATTACATCAAAGGACTCACACAGGAGAGAAACCCTATGAATGCAAGGAGTGTGGGAAATCCTTCTCTCAGAAGTCACATTTTGTCATACATCAGAGAAAACACACAGGAGAGAAACCCTATGAATGTAAGGAGTGTAAGGAAACATTTTTTCAGAAATCAAAACTCACTGCACATCAGAAGACACACACAGAAGGGAAAATCTTATAAACAATATCAATTGGAGAATTCTGTCTGAATTTGTCCTTCAGAATAATCAGATAACTCACACAAGACAAAAAACCTTATGAAATATCATCAATATAGGAAAACTTCAGCCACATTCTTTCATCATGGAGAGAAATTCTATAAATCTCTTAGGGAGAAATTTTTACCATATGTCAGACTTTTACTGAATTTCAGACAACATACATGGTAGAAACACTACAAATGGTAAAACATGAGGGAAACCTCTCTTTCAGAAGTCATACTTTATTGTACAACATATAAACCATACAAGAGAAATCTATAAGAAAAATGAATATCAGGAAATTTCTGTCAGGGTAGCCATCATAAATGAGAGATTTCTATCAGTATCCTGAGCATTCAGAAATCTTTTTATACCTGTTGAACTAATTAGCACATTCTAAAAGGAGATAATCACAAAGATTACAACATATATGGAAGGCTNTTGAGTTGTAAATGAGTTAATATTTTTAAAGCACTTAGAATAGTGCCTGAAACAAAGGAAGAGCTATATGTTAGATACTATCATAATAATTTGTATTTCTTGAATTATTCTGCAAAATAAATAAAAGGTTGGCTACCAGCATTCGCCCCTCACTTTACTGCTGCAGTGCCTTGCTTTGATTTGGTTGTATATTTTTCTGCAAGTGATTCAGATCTGGCCCACTGCCTGCAATGTTTTACCTTTCTGAATGGTTGAAAAAGATTATTTTGTGATGTGAAAACTATACAATATTCAAACTTACATGTCTGTAAATTCAACTTTTGTTAGAACACTAATAAAAAAAAACTTGTTTGTTTTGCCTGTGGCTGCCTTCACATTACAGTAGCAGAGCTGAGTACACTGAAGGAGACCATATGCCCCACAGGGCCTAAGATAGTTATTTTCTGGTACCTTACAAACTCAAGTTTTCTTAGAACTGAAAGTGTCACAGCCAACATAGAAGTATATTTTTACATATGGTATGTGTTTCAGAAATTGTGCATATATCAGTTTGTAGGTAAGTGGAGGTTTTTTGCAATATCTTTGTTATGTGCATTATATATATGTTACAAGACTATATAAGCATTAGAATTTTTTTCAAAGATATGTTTTAGCTGCTGGACTGTCATAACATCAAAACAAATACTCTGATGGAATGTAGCAGTAAATTATGAAATAAACATTGTCTAAATTAATTGATCCCTACTCACAGTATTCCTGTATTTTCTTCTATGTCCATGGCCAGTTTTCCCTGTATCATTTTTAAATTTTATATCACATAATAAAATACATCTTTATGTCATACTTAACTAAGTGCAACCAAACAACAACAAAAAGAATACCCAACTCCACCAGCTACATTACTAGTAAAATTACTTTATTGCCCATACTTCATAGAATTGTCAAATACCGCTCCAATCTAAATCCTGCCATCTTATTTCCCCTTCCTAATAAAAAGGACTTTTATGATGTTTAGCTTCCTCCTCATGCCTCATTTGTGTTTAATATTAATGAGTACCTAGTATAATATTTAGAGTAATATATTTAGTGTATTTAGTGTGAAACATTTAGTATAATATTATTTATAATAATATTTAGTATAATATTTGCTTACATCTTATGTATACTTTGTACTTATATAACTTCTGAATACTCCATGGTAAACTACTGGCTCTTACAGGAGCATGCCATCTTGATACATGTTTAAGAGGAAACAATCTCTTCAGTGTTCTTTATTTCAGTGTGAAAACAAATACATTGTATAACTTCTTGGGCTTCTCAATCAAAAATTAAATAAAAATTAGTACTTTCTTGGGACAGTCCAATAACTGAGGCAAATCTACTTTGAGAATAAAGCCTGTACTAATAAAAATACTTTTAAAAATTAATACTCTGGTAAGAGTAAAATGTTGCTAGTCTCCAAGTTGAAGAAAACCTGAGACACTGTTTCTTGGCCATAAGCCCCAAGACATGAACTAGTAACCACCAAAATTGATAGATCAGAGACAAGTGATCAGACACTGATGGCAATTAACTGGAGAATTTTCTCACTAGGGCACATGCTTATGAAAACCAGCTAGCTGTGACAACTCATTTCTGAAAGCCAAGCAACAGCTTTCACTCTGACACACTCTGGAAATCCAGCAAGTCAGCTATGGCCTACTCCAGTGACTACTACTACACTTTTTGAAAGAGCCAGTCAGTCCCTCAACACTCCGCTTTGGAAAGTCTACAAATCCCTGAATCCCCCATTTCCCCAAACCTTTTATCATTTCTTTCTCTGATTGATTTACAAATATAGGCCTCTTTTTGTTAGTTTGATGGTCAAAGATGGACAGTATCAATTCCTTCCCTCATGCTATTCTATGACTAAGAGACAGATTGATTTTCCCATCTTCTTGAATCTGATTGGTCTTGTGACTTGTTTTGGCTTATTAGCATATTACGAAAGTGTCAGGCCTCCCCTTTAGGAGTATGGCAGCTTCCACTTTCCTTCTCAAAGCTAGTAACATGGAAAAAGTACAACTAGTCTGAGATCACCAATTTGTGAAGACACTCAAGCTACTGAGGATGAAACCCCACAATGCTGGACATATGAGTGAAGCTTTTCAGACCTTCTAGCCTAGCCCCATCACTGCCTAAATGCTAGCTGAATAAGAGGATACAGCTAATAACTAGTGGAGAAGAAAAATCATCCACTCTTATCTATAGAGAAATAATAAGTTATTATTTTAAGCCTTTTAAGTTTTAGGTGTTTTAGTTGCACAGTAATAGATGGCTGAAAAAGAAAAGCAATAAGTCAAGCTTTTGGTTCCAAATGTTGGTTAGACTCTTCTTTCACAGTAACAGTTACATAGTATAATTATCCCTTAGAAGTTTACCACAATTAATACTATGACAGTTATTTAATCTAGTTTCTAAAAAGGACTTACCTCCCAAACACCACCCTGTTTCCATGAAAGAGAAGCAATCTTGGCTAAATTAGGCTATTTCATACTGCATGGTGTCATCCCAACTATATCCAGACCTTGAAACTTATATAGCAAAGAATAAATGCCAATGGAAGGGGGAAATTATCCATACTTTTTTTTTTTTACAATAAAGACTCTACTTAAGAAATTCAACAGGTGATAAGATCTTGCCTTATCTGTAAACTTCAGATGTTGTTGGACACTCCTTCATAGAATATTATAGCCATAGGCTATAAAGGTGTGTGTAGTTGACTGGTACATGGTCTCATGATAATTTAGGGCAGAGAAAATACTGGGTTGGTGTGAGAGATTGGTTGTTTTGTATAGGAAACATATGCTCCAGGCCTGGCTCTATCCCTTTGCTATCTCTAAGAATTGGCTAGCCCTAAGAGACAAAGTCTCTCCCTGGTCTGCAAGCTTCATAAGATGTCAAAACATCATAGAATACATAAAATTTAAAAATATGATTACTACACTATGCTTTGAAAAAGCTTAATATTTCTCAGCCTAAAGTTCTACAGCTGTTCATGATGATAAAGACAATGTGATTATATCTTAAAATCTCTATAACTTCTCATGAAATTGTTATTGAATGATCTGAAATTTGGCTTGAATCTTCTCCTCACAGTATCCAAATTGAGATTATCGAATATCTAATAACAGGCACACAGTCATAAGCCCAACAGGTGAAAACTGCATTTCCAAAAGTGGTCACCAGAAACATCTCCACTTATATAATGAAGAGATTAAATATGTGAAAAGAGACACCAACCAATGTAAGCCTTAAAATCACACTGAAAAGGACCATTTTCTGTATTTACATTCCTAATCACAAATAAATGCTACAAGAATAAAACCATGGCTGAACATTATCAGAATGTGTGATCCATTATTTATGTCTGACTTTGGGGCAAATAATAAAACAGCTTAAACTGTATAGGTCTTACAGACTAAAAATTCACTTGCTAGAGAATGAATGCTAAGAATACTAAGAAGTAAAATTGATGTTGAATATTACACAGAAAGAGCATATGTGTCTGATTCCCAGGTGCTTAAATGCTGTTACATAGACAGTATGGCCAGCTGATATTAAAGCATGATTCTGACATTTCTCCAAAGAAGACATACAGATGGCCAACTGCCGGGGTCCAGCCTCGGCAGGATCCAGGGGGTACCCTCAGGATGAACGGCGTCGGCGAGAGAAGACACGTGAGACTAGCCTTGATAGGGCCAAGTCTGCGAGGGGGAGAGAGAGAGAGAGAGAGAGTGACCAGACAGGGAGTGCAGCAGAGTCTGGCAAATCTTTATCTATTTTTTACCGTAGCTTTTATATTCTAAGTTAGTACATTTTTAAGGGGAAGATAGTTTAATATTACATCGGCTCATCCTTCACGAAACCAGGGTGTTTTCTGCATACTTCTTTGTGAGAGTCTTGTACATTATCTTCTGGCCTTGGGGCCTATTGACATTTTATGACCTAGGTGAATGCAAAGCTGTTTTCTGTAATCTATTCTTTAATGAACACAAAGGTCAGTCCTTCCAGAAGAAGTTATCAGTTAAATTTATCTAAAAGTTTTACAACACAAAGACTCTGCAGCTCCAGTGAGGCAGCCCCTGTTTAGCATTCCTGGTTAAAATGAACAATTCTAAACTCTTATTTTTCTAAATCTTTAACTATAACCACTTTTAGAATAATATTTTTATGTTCTATAATAGGGCTTCCTCACCCCCGAATGGCTCTGTGCCTATTAGGGCCTTTATGTGATCAGGTTCTTTATGCTGTTTATGATTAAGGTGTTGTGAGCAGTCATGTGCATTAGTATGCATTTGCCAAGCAGGCTAGAATGCCAGCAAAGGGTTCTAAATTGAAACACTCCTTTCATCCTGGATAATCTTATAGGATACCGCCGTCCTTTGGGGACATATTGATTAAAGTTCTAAGTTGATTCTGTTTAGAGAGAGATCGGGGAAGGCCATCTACCTGTGTCACAGAAATTAGGGAGTAGTCTAATACAGCAAGCATCAGAAAGACAGAGATCATCTTTAAGGTGAGCGCCGGGGCAGCTTTTTGAAATCCCTGCAGTCCTGATCTGCCTTGCTTGTCAGGTCTTCTCACGACCTTGTCATGGATAGGATCTCGTGTGCTGGCTCCCGGCAGCCAACCAACACATGAAAAGATTTTCAACACCACTCATTATTAGATAAATGTAAATCAAAATGCAAATGGGGTATCACCTCACACCAGTCAGAATGGCCATCATCAACAACAAACGATGAAGAAGGTATGGAGAAAAGGGAACCCTCTTGCACCGTGCTTGGAGAAGGCAATGGCAACACACTCCAGTACTCTTGCCTGGAAAATCCCATGGACGGAGAAGGAGCCTGGTAGGCTGCAGTCCATGGGGTCGCGAAGAGTCGGACATGACTGAGCGACTTCACTTTC